TTATAACTCAATCCTTAAAGTAAAATATCTAGCGTCATACTATTGAAGATGAGCAAAAACTCTTCATCCAGCACTTTGCAACAAAATGGGATTGCTTCCTCTAAGACTTTTTCCTGAACTGATGCCCATTTCCAGAAATGAAAACATGCTGACTTTTTGAAAGTGTTATATGTCGCTTCAAAAGTCTTTTTGTTGTTGTTGTTCTGAGTCAGAGTCTTGCTCTGTGGCCCAGGTTGGAGTGCAATGGTGCAATCGACTCACTGCAACTTCAGCCTCGCAGGTTCAAGCAATTCTCCTGCCTCAGCCTCCCAAGCAGCTGGAATTACAGGCACATGTGACCACGCCTGGCTAATTTTTGTATTTTTAGTATTTTAGTAGAAAAGGGGTTCCACCATATTGGTCAGGCTGCTCTCAAACTCCAGACCTTGTGATCCACCCGCCTTGGCCTCCCAAAGTGCTGGGACTACAGGCGTGAGCCACTGCGCCTGGCCCAAATGTCCATTTCATAAGTAACGAAACAATGTTGGAACCTTGCTCTATTGTAGAATAAAAACTGTGGGATAACATAAAGGTGGTCAAGAATTTGGTATTTGGAATATTAAACAAAGATGAAAGATCAGAAAGAGCTGGGGAAATCCTATACTGCAGTTTTCTTCTGAATTTAAAAAAAAAAAAGTTAATGAACATTTTGGCCAAGGGTGTTTAGATTCTCTCCCCTTTTTAAAAACAAATAAGTTACTTTCAGGAAATTTGCACCAAATGAGAAGCATAATTACAAGAGAAAGATAGCTTCATTTGTCCCAAGTCATTACAACCATTTGCTGGTGAATTGGCGTGATTTTCTGAGAAAAGTGGAAAAAACCACTTAACTGTAGGTTACTCTGAGGATGGAAACTAAGTTGATTTCCTCTTGAGAATGGAAGAGGTATGACAAGAATTTGAAATAAGAGAGGGGCATTTCAAAATTTACAGTTTTGAAAGTGAAGCACTATTCAATTTTGAGCAAAATGATTTTATAGCCATACTATCGTTTGTCTGATTAAAATGGATAAGATCATGAAAGTTGAAGAGACAAGGTATCATCTTTCTGCCTGTTGAAATCTGTGATAGCATAGGTAAGATAAGGAGAAAAGGTTGATGAGATGGTAAGGTCAATGACGTTTATGGTACAGCATCCTGGAGCCTGATAGATGAATAGAATATAAAATACAGGAAGTGATTTTGAAATATGGCTGAAAGTTCTACAGGGAAGTAGTTTTAAAGTGAGTCCTGCAGACCCGTAGTGTGGAAAGAGTGAAGAACAAGGTTTATAGCAACCGGTATTGGTCAGAAACCATGGCGTCTCCTGAAGGAAGTGTGGAACATGTAGGTTTGGGTAAATATTTTTCTCCTGGTTAATGAATATAAAATTGTAATACTTTCTGGGAACATCCTTACTACCTGTAATATACACAGGTGTGTCTTGCTTGTGTTCAATGCTGCTTTATTAAAATTAATGTTTCATTTACTTAGATTTATACACTACAGGGAAGAGATGCAATGCAAACTTAAAATCGTTGGCAGAAATCTCTGTGGGTATTAAAATCTGTTGTGCATTTCACCCTGTTTTAAATTTAGTTTTTCCTAATGATAAATGTAATCTACACAGTCACTGTGCAAAATTTTTAAGCATTAAGATGTATGTAGAAACAGAAAAGAAAAAGAAAAGCATATCCCACTCCTCAGAAATATAACACTTTTTTGGTATATTTTCTTCTGGTATATTTTTTCTTAATTTTGGAAGAAACATATTCCAAACACAGGAAAGTAAAGCAGATAATAGATTGCCTTATACTCAACCGAATTATAACAAATGTTAAGACTGCCACATCAACTTCAGTTTCTTTAAAAAAAGAAACAGTCACTTTGGGAGGTGGCGGCAGGATCTCTTGAGGTTAGGGGTTCAAGACCAGTCTGGGCAACAAAGCAAAACACTCTCTCTACAAAATATACAAAAATAAAATAAAAATAAATAATGGGGCATGGTGGCTTGCACCTGTGGTCCCAGCTACTCGGGAGGCTGAGGCGAGAAGATACCTTGGAACTGGAAGTTGGAGGCTGCAGTGAGCTACGATCATTCTACTGCACTCCAACCTGCACAGCAGAGTGAGACCACAATTTTTTTCTTTTTTTAAAAAAGAAAGAAATGACATTTCACCAGGGAAATTAACAGCACTCCTGGAACCATTACCTTCCCTTCCTCTCCACAGTAATTACCATCTTGAAGGTCATTTGTATCTTTTTTAAGTTTTTTTTTTTTTTGACGGAGTCTCGCTCTGTTGCCCAGGGTGGAGTGCAGTGGCGCGATCTTGGCTCGCTGCAAGCTCCACCTCCCGGGTTCACACCATTCTCCTGCCTCAGCCTCCCGAGTAGCTGGGACTACAGGTGCCCGCCACTACGCCTGGCTAATTTTGTTGTATTTTTAGTAGAGACGGGGTTTCACCATGTTAGCCAGGATGGTCTCGATCTCCTGACCTCGTGATCCACCCATCTCGGCCTCCCAAAGTGCTGGGATAACAGGCACAAGCCACCGCACCTGGCCCTTTTTTTGTGTTTTTATACTTTTACTATATACATATGTATTTATAAATGATACAAAGTATTGTTTTGGGTGTTTTTAAATTTTGCATGGATTGTCTCAAACTTTTCAAAAAAAAAAAAAAGACTTTTGAAACTCACTTTTTCCATTCAATGTTATGTTTTTAAAAGATTGTCCATGTTGATAAATGTAGACCTAGTTGATTCATTTTAACTGCCAAGCAATATTCCATTGCATGAATATACCATCATTTATTTATCAATTTTCCTATCAATAGACACTTCAGTTATGTCCATTACAACTTTAAAAAGTGTTTTAGTGTAAACCCTTATCCATATGTCCTCATCAATAGAGATGAAGTTTCTCTAGGGTACAGAGCTAGAAGCAGACTTGCCAGGTCATAAGTTATTACATGTTTATTAGATATCACCAAATCATCCTCCAAAGCAGTTATAACAGCTCTTACTCCCGTCAACAATATACTGGAGTTCCGCTTTCCCCACATAGTCATGAACACTTGTCCTTAATCTTTTATAATTTTGCCAGTCTGATGACTGTAAACTGACATATGACTCCATTTATTTTCCTTGATTTCTAATATGGCTGTGCATCTTTTAAGTCATGCATTTGGCAATCTGGTTTCCTTTCTTGTTAATTGTTCTGTTCATTTGTCTATGAGTAGTTTGTCTCTTACGATATGTAATATTTAACATATTATTGACACTATTTTTTGTCAGTTTTATTTGCTGCAGATATATTCTCCTAGCCTATCTCTTCCCATTTATCTTAGCTTATGGTATATTCTGATGCTTTTAGTTTTAATGTACTTGAAGCAGAGATGACGGTGAGCAAAATAACTTTGAAACATTGATAGTTCACATATTTAGTTGCTCATTTGTCAAGTATTTGTTGAGCATCTACTATGTGTCAAGCACTATTACAAGTTCTATGTGTACACAAAGAACTAAACTGTCAAAGCCCTTGAACTCCGGGAGGCTGAGATAGGAGAATTACTTGAACTCGGGAGGCGGAGGTTGCATTGAGCCGAGACCGTGCCATTGCACTCCAGCCTGGGCAACAAGAGTGAAACGCGATCAAAAAAAAAAAAAAAAAAGCCCTTGAACTCATGGAAATTAATACTAGTGGGTGAAATGAGCAAAGAAAAAGCAAATACACATTTACATAAAATAATGTCACAGTAGTAAATGCAAAGAGAAAGTTGGTTCAGGGGATATAGAATGAAAGGGAGTGGTGGACTATTTAAATAAGATGGTTAGGGATTACACTTTTAAGAAGTAATAATAAAACAAAGAACTGAATGAAGAGATGAAGTGAATGATGTCTGAGAGTAAACCCTTCCAAGACAATTCTACATGGATAGGCACATGTAGAAGTCTTGAAATTACAGAGTTCTCAGGGTGTTTGAGCAAAATCCAGGAAGCCATTGTGGCTGTAGTGAAGTGAGTGAGGGGTACATAATGTGAGAGAGGTAAAGGTTAGCATGATGGAAACTAAAGATTGAGGGAATATTGATCTCCATTAGACCTTTTTTGTTGTTTTAACTTTTTTTCTCATTGCACATTTTTATAGATGAACTGGATCCATTTAAATCGCTCAGACTAAAATGGACATCTACCATTCTGTGACCCATGTGGTAGTATTACCACTATTTTTTTAGATAAGAAAATAGAAAAGTGAAGCAACTCACCCAAGATAATAGAACAAGGGGATTTGTGCCTAGGCCTTTTCACTATCAAGTCCTAGTTCTAAGGAATAAAGGACAAATGCTAGTGGTTCTTCAACATTAGAGGGCATAATAGTTACCTATGGTATTTGTTTAAACTGCAAATTACTAAGCCCCATCTCAAGAGATTTAGATTCAGTAGATCTGTAGTGGGTTTGAGAAGTCTGCATTTTACTAGGAACCACAATGTCACTTCATGATATATGATGCTGGTGTTCCAGGGACCACATATTGAGAAAAGCTGGCTATGCCAGTAAGTCAGATTTGAATCTAGAAGTTTTATACAGAAGGAATAGTGGTAAGGCAAGATCCAAATTAATGATGAGATGGCAAAGAGGTAAAAGTCAGTTAGATTTAAAAACATAAATGGGCGGAGATTAGTCTGGAAGTAAATGTCAGAGACTCCCTAAAGATAGCTGAGCTAACTAAGGACAGTTTCTAAAACATGTATGGAAATCATAATCATTTGGGAAGCTTTAAACATATGTAGATTCCCAGAGTTCACCCTAAATACTTTTTAATAATCTCAGAGAGATAAAAGGGAGTGCTAGAAAGGAACCCAAGTACCCTGGATATCAGCCAAGGAATAAAATCCATTAGGATTAGCAGTCAACCATTGAGAGACTGGGCTGTAGCACGTAAAAATCCAGTCATGAGATACAGATACAGCTCAAGAAAGTCAGAATCACAAAGGACAGAGTCAAGCCCAGTAGTGCTGGAATAAGACAGCAGCAAGAGTGACCTGAAGCTGTCAGAGATCTTTTGACATAGGAGCTTAAGTGCTGAGGTAGGATTGAGTTGTTATGACAAGAAAAATAAACCCATTTGCTGGGAACGGAAGAGGCTAGCACGGGGAACAGGCAAGCTAACCAAAATGATTCATTTAATCTCTCTTTATGCTTTATGATAAGCTGAAAACATGGTTTTCACTTTTATTCATTCATTCTTCTGCAAAAAGAAGATAACATAAAGAAGAGAGATTTTCCTGACTAACGTTTTTATTTGGTTTCATGCAAGTCATTATATTAACATGCTAGTATCTCTTTCAACAATAATCTTTACTCCCTTTGTTTTTATTTGCAGGTTTGGGTGGGGATAAATGGATCAAACTGTGAGTATTACTGTGAGAGTTTTTATTTTGACACAACCTGCACTGTACCATTCAGCATCCTAAGGATGTGGACTATTTTGTACATCAATATGATGTTGCAGCCTTCCCCTCCTTTCTCTGTACCCCTCTTTCTGGATTCTTCCATATTTATCTCATTCTTTTTATTCCATGGTAACTGTACTGTTTCCTTCAGTTTATTTAAAACTTTTCAATGCATAGGTATGTTTGGCATAACATGTAAAAAACTGAATGTACAGAAATGAAAAAGAGTAACACTTATTATAATGTAGCTACATGTTTATGAAATCTAAGAACTAAAAGCTAGTGGGGGTCCAAAGAGCAACAAAGATTATTTGCAGCTGATTTGGGAGGTTATTTTATTGTTGGATTTTCTGTTCTTGTTGTTGTTGCTTTTTTGAATTGTTAGCTGCAAACGCAGTTCCATTGAAACAGAGCCAGGGTATCATAACCACACAACACTGATATGAGAATAATAACCAACTCTCCCTTGCTTTGAGTTCTATTCTACCCTTATTTCCCTTATTTCCACGCAAGTCTCATTTCAAAATTCATAATCTAAACGTATCTTCAGGATCTTATTTTTAATATAAATAACAATAGATATTAACATAGTCAATCAGATTTTTCACATGATGCCCAAGAGCAAATTCTAATGTTGAAAATGTTTTTTCATTACATTTTAATGAGGAAATCATGCAAGAAAGTTTTGTATACTGGGATTTTACCAAAATAAGTATTGTAGGATCCTGTGCCTAACCAGAATGACAATCTAAATGTAAAAATTCATAGTCTGGTGCTTTCTTCCCACAGAATGACTCAGCCGTCCCTTGGTACATACGCGGCCAATGCTGCAGTTTCCCTGTTGAATTGCGGGATTATTAAATGGGCATGTGGCCAAGTCAAGGCAAGAAACTCATTTGGCAAAGGGCAGAGGAGAGGCCTCTTCTACTTAATAGAATGCTTGTTTTTTTGTTTTGTGTTGTTTTGTTTTGCTTCTCCTTTCCCAGAGGTAGCTACTACAGCTGTGGATTTTTGACCCATTTGCTACAATTTCAAAGAACTGTGTCCATAACAAAATCCACCATCTTTCCCTCTGAAGTGGTTCAAGTGGTTCTTCTCTTACTTCTAATTTTAATGACTGTTACCACACCGTAATTAGGGGTTCCTGCGCAGCTATTTTTGCATGACAGCTATTTTTGTCTCCTAGAAACAATGCATTAAATAATAGTCCTGTCTCCCTGGATTTGATCATTAGAGTCCATAATCCCAACAGAAGATGTAGAATATTTACTTCTATTACTTTAAATGTCAGCTTTTGGAAGTGTATTTTATATACAATAAAACACAGCCATTTTAAGGGTACAGTTTGATGTGTTTTGACAAATGTATTTACCCATGTAACCACCATCCGCATCATGACTTAGGACATTTTCGTCGACCCTAAAACTTCCCTCAAGACCCTTTGCAGTCCTCCATTTCCTACTCCAGGCAACATTCTATCATTCTAGATTAGTGTGACCTCTTCTTAATTGTAATATAAAAGAGAATCTTATCCATGTATACTCTGGTATCCATCTTCTTTTGCTCAACATAATGATCGTTGGCATTATCCATGCTATAGCATGTGCCAGTAGTGCATTATTTGCTATTAATGAATAGTAAACCATTACATAATTATATCACATATTATTTTTTCTGTTTTTTTGTTCATGAGCATTGGATTGTTTCCAGAATTTGGCTACTATAAGTTGCTATGAACCTTCACTTACAAGTCTCTCTGTGGACATATGTTTGCATTTCTCTTGGGTAAATATCTAAGAATGGAAATGCCGGATTATAGGGTAAGTGCATGTTTAACTTTGTAACAAATGTCAAAATTATTTTTCAAAGTGGTTGTAGCATTTCATACTCCTGCCTGCAATGAATAAGATTTCCAGTTGCTCCACATCTTTATAAACACTTGGTTTCGCCAGTTGTTTTGTTTTATAATTTTTAGTGGCATTTAGTGGTACCTCATTGTGTTTTAAGTTGACATTTCCCTGATGAATAGATTCTTAACATATTTTCACTTATTAATTGGTCATCCATATATTTTCTTAGATGAGGTGTCTGTTAGTTTTTAATTAGGTTGCTTATCTACTTTTTATTAGGTTGTATAATTTATATATACTGATACAATTCTTTTGTCAGATATATACTACATATTTTTCCCTCCCCCCTTTCACATACCTTTTCTTTTTCATATTCTTAACAATGTCTTTCAAATAACAAATGTGTAAACAAAAGCTTTCTGAAAAGGAATTTAGAAGAAAGATATTTTATTGCAATGAACACTTTGCAAACCAGCTTTCAATGTAAAATGAAGGTGATTTCCAGAGAACAAGGAGATCCTTTGAGTTTTATTGCAGAAGTTCCTGCCCAGGTTTCCAATAAGGTTCCTTTATGCAAATGAGGGATTGAAACTTACTTAGTTATGATTGGTCAGCACAGCTAAGCACTGATTGGTTGCTACAGTTGGATCCTGACCAGCTGGGGTAAGCTCTGATTGACTGGTTTCCAAGTCCCAAATTGGATGTCTCTGTCAGATGTTTGTTTAAATAATCCAGTTGTGGGGGATGTTCTGGCAGCAGTCTTATCTTGGCACTAACAAACAACATAAACTGCTTCAGATTAATTGTAGAAAGGGAGGTCCTGTGATACTTTCACAACATCTTTCTGAGAACACGGAGTATGTGACCGATACCTCACCCAGCCATGGCTCTCTAGTTCTCTTTAAATTTTGAGCACCTCAGCCATGTGGAGTTCATTTTGTCTGTCCCTGGAGTTTCGTGGTATCTTATTGTAGTATTAAGCAGATATTCCCCTAAGGAATAGCTTCTCAATATATTTTCACTTACTAATTGATCATCCGTATGTTTTCTTATATAAAGTGTCTATTATATTTTAATTGGGTTTCTTGTCTACTTTTCATTAAATTGTATAATTTGTTTATATGTAATTATACAAGTGTTTTGTCAGATATATACCACACATATTTACATGCTTCCATATACCTTGTCTTTTTTATTTTCTTAATGTCTTTCAAATAACTGATATCTTAAAATTTTGATTAAGTCCAGCTTATATTTTTTTGTAAATAGTACTTTATAAATCCTTTATATGTCCAATAAAATTTGCCTATTCCAAAGCTGTGAATATTTTTTCTATATTTACTTCTAGCTAGATTTTATTGCCTGTGAATCCTTTTTGAATTTATTTTTTATGTATCATGTAAGGGTTGAAATTTTTTCTCCAAACTGACTTTGATATATTTTTTAAAACATGCAATTTTTTTCAAATATAAAATATGTTTAATGAAGATAATTTGGAAAATAAAGAAAATCATAAAGGGAAATTAATGCCTATAATTTCATAGTCCTAAAAAACAACTGTTCATGATTATCTGTTTTTCTTTAATCATTTTTCTTCTGCTTATGTATCTGTACTTTTTTTTCATTAAGGGAAGCATCAGATTCTTTGTGTTATTCTGCAGCCTAAATTTTGCAATAGGAAATATTTTGTTTTTCTATATTAATAATGGTTCTTCTATGGCATGCTTTTTAATGGCTGGATTGTATTTCATCATATGGATATTCTAGCATTTATTCTGCCACTTCTTGATTTTTATGCATTTGGGTTATTTCATTTGTCTATGATTTACTTTTGCCATTTTAAATAATAATGTGATTAACTTTGAATTTCTAAAATAAATTTTATTTCTATAACAGAAAAATTGCAAATATATTACATACACCCAGATTCCCCTATTACTATCATTCTACAATAGAATGAAACATGTTGCAATTAATGAAAAAGTATGGATTTTTATTAACTAAAATTCCTACTTTATTCAGATTTATCTATTTATTTTTTCCTAATGTTCTTTTTTTGTTCCAGGATGTCATCCAGAGCACCATGTTACATTTAGTCATCAGTTTCTAGTTAGGCTTCTTTCGGGTGTGATAGGTTCTCAGAATTTTCCTGTTTTTGATGGCCTTGACAGTTTCCATCTATTGGGATGTCTGACATCTTTGTCATGATCAGACTGGGATGTGCTTTCTTGGGAGGAAGATAACCGAGGTAAAGTGCCATTCTTATTATATCATGCGGAGAGTACATATTATCAACATGATTTATGACTGCTAATGTTGACCTTGATAGACTGGCTGAACTGTAAGCTTCCTCCATTGTAAAATTCTTCTTCTTTTCCCTGTTCTATGTAAAATTATTCTTCTTTTCCCTGTTCTATACTCTATTTATTTGGGAAAAAAAAAAAAAAAGCCACTCTTTACATCCCACACTTAAGAGACAGAGAATATGATTTGTTTTTAATATACACTTTTGCCTTTTTTTTTTTTTCTTAAAATTAGTTTCTAGAAATAAAATTGCTTGGTTCATGATACTATTAATTATTTCATTAAAAGTGATATAAGATCCGAGAAAAGAGAGACCACAAAATGTGGAATTTAAGAGAAAAAGATCCATTTTCTCCTCTTTCATTCACAACACTTTGGTGTATAGCCTTCCAAATTCTATATACTCATGTCAAGTGTACACACGTCTAAACCATCTAAACCCACATGCACACAGATGACTTCGCACACCGTACACACTCCACATATACCCTCCACATCCTGCAAACTTTGCACATTGCTCACATTCACACATGGTTTTTGAAAACATATTGCATTGCAATTACTTTTTTTATTTGCTACTAAAGCAGTATTTTAAAATGTAGGCTATGGAGCCAGACCACCTGGGTTTTAATCCAGGTTCTGCCTTTTGCTACCTGTGTGACCTTGGGCAATTTACTTAACTTCCCTGTGTCTGAAATTTATTATAAAGCAGTTAGGAGATGATTAAATGAGAGCATACATAGAGAATTTAGAACAGTGCCAGAAGTAAAGCACGCTCTCAATGAAGGTTTTAGCTATTTTTATTATTGTCATCTTTTCATGTAATTACATAGGATCTTACCTTATTCTTTCCAGTGACAGCAAATTATACAATTAGAAAAACAGGCTAATTTATATAACAAATCCTCTATGGATTTGGATGCCTTTTTTTGTTTTGTTTTAAAGTAGATTTTTAAATTAAAATAATATCAGCACATTATTAAAATAAACAGTAACTCAAATCATCTGAGTAATCTAAAATTTAAAGTAAACTCATTATAATTTTTTTACTCCCCAGAGGTAAACACTTTTAAAGAGTTTCTGTATTTTAGTCTTACTAGTGGTAACCATTATGAATTTAAATAAGCCTTTATTTTTCTTTCTCAATATAGAAGTTTTAAATACTCAATGTTGACTATCCACTGTGAAAGGTTACAATTTACTGAGCTTACGCAAACTCTCCACTTCCATGGTGACACCATGGAGAAGGAAGTGTACTCTTCTGTCTGTCACACAACAATGTCACAAGCATGGAAAAGGGCTATGGATATTATTTATTAATTTATTTCCACATATATTTACTTATTCTAGGTCATACGAAGAAGACGGTGGTTTTTACATCTTTATTATTTATAATATATATTATCAAACCTACCTGGAGAAAGAGTGTACCAGTTTGTCTTCCAATCAACAGTTTACAAGAGTGCCTATTTCCCTGCCTTCTTGCCAATAGTTATATATTATAATTAAAAAAAAAATGCCTATTTGGTAGATGACTGATGATACCGGATTTTTGTGCTTATTTGATTACTAGTGAAGTTGAACATAATTTTATTCTTTAACTGGAAATGCAATATACCATAGTGATTAAAAGCCAGCTCAGGAATAAGAGACCTGGACTCAACTACCAACACTCTGATCTAAGGCAAGTGAGTTCACCCTTCTGAGGCTCGGTTTACTCATATGTCAAATGTGGATGATGATACAATACTCATGATAGGTTTATTGTGAGGACCAAACGAGAAAATTCTTATAAAGTTTTGAGCACAATGTTTGGCATATCATAAGGTTAAACAGACATTCATTCTTGTTAGTTTGTGTGTATTGTTTTATTCCATCACTTTTTCATATCCTTCATTGACTTTTCATGTTTTATTAATTTGAAATAGCTCTTAAAATACTTAAGTTATTAAACCTTTGTCACAAATGTTGCACCCTTTTTATCCTGGTTTGTAGTTTGCCATTTATTTTTGTTCATAATGCCTTGACATCAAAATATTTAAAGATGATATAATCATAGCTATTGTGTTCCTTTATGGATTCTGCCTTTAATGTTCTGCCAAGAATTACCTTTCCCATTCTAGGTTTTACACACGTATGCAAATGATCTTATATTTTAGTTTAATGTATATGTATATGATCTTATATTTTAGCTTAATTTTTTAACATATAAATATTTAATTCATCTGGAATTCGTGATTTAGAGAGGTTAATGGTACCTTCTTTTGCAATGGACCGCTAGTTTTTCTAACACTATTGATTGAATAATTGACCCTCATCTCAATGATGTGAAATACCAATTTTATTATATAAAAATTTATAATAAATATTTAGATCCTATCTTGACTTTTTTACTCAGTTCAATTGCTGTCTGCTCCTTGCCATATCCAGTTCATTTCCATTTAGCATATCTCATAAAGCAAGTGGACCTTCAGCACTACTCTTTCTAATATTAACCTGGTTAACATGACATGCTTATTTTTCCATACACATTTTAAAGCCATTTGTTGAATTAAAAAACATGTCACAGGGTTTTGATTAAATGTATGCATAAATCTAGGAATAATTTTTATCTTTATAAAATTGAGTCTTCTCATGTAGGGGCACTATGTCTCTTTCTCTTTGTTCCATTTTATTGTTCCTTCATCTGAATCTAAATGAAAACTTAAACTCTACACACCAACTGTGAAACCCTTCCAGACTCAATAGCAAACACTTCTGGGCCCATTTCAGGTACTATTCTCTTCATGAAGCTTTCCCCAACTTCTCTGGTTAAACAAGATAGTGAATTTCATGAAATACTAAATTTGTTTAGAATTAGAGACTGTGTTGTTTATTTAGCAGATGCCTGATAAATTTTAGGTGGGTCTGAACTACAATATACCCTGTACTACACAAATTACTCTAAGTGGAATGCTTTCTCTTGGAGACTTGTATAAAGGCTATCTTATATATATTCCAGAGGAAAATCGAGTCCAGAAACTGCATTCAAGTTGTGCTGCCTCTATGTAATCTTGACAAGCTATATAATCTTTCTGACCTTCGTATATTCATCTATGGGAAATAAGAGGAAATATTTTAAAAATACCTACCTCACTGGATTAAAATATGATGTCCTATAGAAATATAAGTTTTTTGTCTTTATTATTCTTCATTTTTTATGAAAAACTTTTGATCTCTAAGCATTTTGCAAAATTTGCAAAAAGAGTGAACATATCTGGGTTTTTCTTGTATAGTACCGCAGCCACCATATGCATGGAGTTCCCACAGTCTACTCATCTGCTGGATTTTCTACGGGTACTCTGGTTTCCTCCCACATCCCAAATATATACTTGTTAGGGTAACTGGCATGTCTGACATGGTCCCAGGGTGTGTGAGTGTGGGTGTGTGTGAATGTGCCCTATGATAGAATGATGTCCTGACCAGGGGTGGTTCCCTAATGACTTCCTGAGCTGACAGATAGGTCGCTTGTGATCCTAAAGTGGAAAAAGCAGGTAAATAATGATCTGACTGATTTTTATTCATTGTTCTTAAATGTAGGTATACCGCACATTTATTTCAATAATTGTGACAAACACAATTAGAACTAAATAGTCAAACATATAATATCGGTTATATAACAGAATAAGAACATTTTCCAGATAAAACACTGTTACAATATGTACAAATCTCAGGCTTGTACTCTTTAGATTCAAAAAATTATTTTCAAAGTAAATATTTGTTTTGCTTTTGGCAAAAAATGAGTTTTCATTGTAGCAAAAGTCATGTGCCTTGTGGATTAGTTAAGCAGGTGAAATATGTTTAAAGTGAACTGCTGGTCATTAATTTTTCTCTGGTCTTGTATTTTAGTTATCCAACAATCTTTCTGAAACTTCAAGAATACAATGACTTTGTAGTAGCCAAAATGATAATATTCAAACATTGGAGATGTATTTTATTTTACTATTTAAAAATGGAATCTAATTGCTTCACAGACTATATAAAAATTAAAAATAAAATTTAAATGGAAATAATGCATAATGTTGCCACTGTAATACAATTATGACTTTTCTATACTAATTACTCATTTTTGTGCATATTAGAGTTAATGAAATGGCAAATGTAATATTATGTTTGTTAATTATCTCTTTAATGTGAATGTTTGAAGCCTTCAAATAGTACTGACTTAATACCTGATATTAGGTAGAGCCACTTTGGAAAAAATTTCAGTCAAAAAAAGGAGTTAATGATGGACTTTTTGTCTGGCATCACTACAATAATTAAAAAAAAATCCTTGTATTGTTTCAATTGTGTAGAATTAGCTTGTGAAACTTAGATGCTAAATTTATATCTATATGACCACAGATAAACTATATTGATTATTTTGAAACTTTTAAAATGCTGAACAAATTTGCTAAGGTTTGTCGTAAAGCTCTGTCCTACAAGATTTACCCTGCTGGGCAAGCTACAAAATATTGGACCAATTGGCCTTTTCAGCTGGGCTTTCTATCTTTTCTGTTGTACTGCTCTTGCATTAAATAAAGAAATAAGGACTATAAAACACAGGAGGAGGAGGTGCAGGTACAGATATAAATCAGGAAACAAGCATAAGGGAACCAAATAGTGTGGGAAATTTTAAAAATACAGAAAATGAAAAGAAGGCTAAAATGAGACTCACAGTAAAAAAAAAAAAAGAAAGCAAATAAGAACAAATAATAAAATATAATAAAATAGGAAAAGGAAGACATAAAACAACGAATAACATTGTTATTCAGGTAGCTCATTATTGCCAAGTTATTTTTGCAAGTAATTTTTCATCAACAATGAATTTTCAAAAAATTTTTATTTGGTTCATGATGGTTCATGGTAATCAATATCATACAAGTTGCTTCTCAGAACAATGCATTTGAGGTTTTGAAAGACTACTGTGAACTATATTCTGCCTACTCTTTTTTTTAATTCATGAAGCTACATTTTCAGTAGTATTTTTTTCACTTACAACTTTATAATGTGTACATCTGTTCACTGAAATACAAAAGCTTTTCTTTTAAAAAGTATTTTTTACTTCAAAACAATGTTTTTAAATAAATTTCAGAATTTATTTTTTCCCTAAAATATAAGCTGTCTTGTTTCAAGCTGTTTCATATTTTATATTCAGTGAATCAGCTCATTATGAATGAAAATGCTTTGCTACGTTTAACTACGTTAAACTTGAGGCCTCCCTTTAATTAGGTGGATCTGTGTTCATCATTTCTATAGAGTTAGTGGACTAACATTGCACTAGACCAAAAAATATAGCAACTCATAATAGAAAACTATCTGTCTCAGGAAAGAAAAATAGGATGAGTCTTCTATCAATGCCTGTTAGTAAGGTTGAGCAATTAAAGGATTACATTATTATTCATTACTCAGGCTACTGAGTTCCTGCACTCTCACCTCCAAGTGGGAAGAGGCAGTGGCCCTTTGTGGACCCTCATTTCATTTTTATTTTGTTTTGTTTTTCTTTGCTATAAAGTGTTTTGTTTCATTTAATTTAATGTAACTTAATTTAATTTAGGAGAGCTAAGTAATTAAACATGAGGCCAAAGTACATAAGAAAGTGGCAGTCTTTTATGGCAAATATGCATACACTCTCGGAGGAGGTTCTCTGGTCCTCAGGTGTGGGGGGCCAGGGAAGTCGCGCCAGCGCTCTGGGGTGATGTTCTCCGGCCCACGAATGTAGGGGGCCGAAGAAGTCACACCAGCTCCTGCCGGCAGCGGACTTTTATGCATTGGTACTGGAAGGGGGAGGGCAGTGGGCGGGATAAGGGCTTGATAGGGGCGTCTCCGTAGGCGTGGCTGGGTAAGTTTCGATCTCTTCGGATTGACATCACCTGGCGGCATGCTCAGTTGATCTGCATCTTCCCGGGGCGGGCTGCATTTTCCCGCGGGCGGGAAAGTTGGTGAGGAAGAACCCGGAAGCAACATGGATTATGCCTTCTTGTTCACCTTCCTCCATCTTGTCCCTTCTCCCTCACCCAAACATAAAGAAGCCAAAGATCCCTGCAGGCCAGTTGGTGAGTTTACCTTTTACTCTCGAATAACAAAGGATTCCGGTTTCCTTCTGTCCCTGCTACCTCCTCTCCATTAACCCCAATTCTTTCAAAATGACACATTCATCTTTTCATCTAGGGTCATGGGTATGTCTTTGATTATTCAACAAAACATCACTCTTCTCTTTTTATTTTTGTTTTATTTCCACAGTTCTTTTATTCTATTTTATTTAACCCTTAGTGCAATTGTAGAGTGCATAGTCTGTCAGGCTCTATTTCTATCACTTTACAAATATTAACTCTTTTGCCTTATTTTGAAAGCTCCTGCTTGACTTGGTATTTCATTCTCGTGCTGGTATTTATACTTCCTTGTTTCAGTAATAGCTTCTGTGATAAAAAGTGGATTCTTGACTGCTTTACTAAGGAAATTATCAGACAGAAGAGAATGAGAGACATAATCGAAAACGGAAGATAATAGAGTTGTTTTCTATCGTTTCAGTGACTAATACCTACTTTCATTTTTCCCGTGATGTAGATATATGGTACTGCAGATACTGATAGATAATATTGATGGTTATGATTTATATAGTGTTTTATGTTTTAAGCACTTTACAAATATGGTATTCAATTCTGACCACAACCATTCGACTCAATTTAGCTATTATCAATCTCCAGTTATAAATGGGACAACTGAGGCTCAAGGTTAAGCAACTAGAGCTGGGATTTTAATGCTGTTCTCCAAATACCAAAGCCCATGTTCCTTCCGTTTATACTAAAGTGCTTTTAACAGATGTGAAAACTGGAGTACAAAGAGAAACGAACATTTACTGAGTGCTAACCCCAAGCATACATTTTCTCAATTAACCCTCTTAGCTTTATGTGTTAAGCATTGGTGACTTGCCAAAAGCAAAAAATAAGGGACAAAGTCAGTTTTCTAAATCATACTTGTTCATTTTCAAACCTGGATAGTGTTTTGACTATGCCAGAGCCTCAGAAAAGGAAGTGGGCACATAAAATGAGTGTAGGGGTTTGATGGGGTTTTTTTATTTTAAAAATTATGTATTTGTTTTAAAATATATTGCAAAAATACAGCTAGCATATCACTTTTGGTATTTTGTTGATATCATTTCATAGGACAAGCTTGAGGTTTTTGAAGTTAGGTTTTTTAAAAGAAAAAGCATTAAGATAATAGTTCACATAGTGTAGAGATAAGGCAGAAATTGTGAAGATGCTGTTCACATGACCGAAGTCTGGGAAACACTGCATTATATTAGGCCA